GCTCTGAGGAGTCCCTAGTCTGACCAAGGCCAAAGACCATAGTTCTGTCAAAAGCCTAGAACTGCCCCAACCCTGTGGGCTCTGTGCTGAAAGTTACTCTTTGTCTCCACCTCATCCTCACCAAAATATCTGATTGGGCTTAGCAGGAAGCAAAAGTGTCGGGGCACAGACAAAAGCAAATTAGGCCATTGCACAGGTGGACATTCTCAAATCCCGACTCTAAGAATCCACTAGCCCAGGGTTTGACCACTGCCTCTGGTCTTCAACCCAAGCCCTCTAGTGAGAGTCTCTGAGCCCGTTTCCTGGGTGATAGCCACACGTACTCTCTACTTTATACCTAGCATGACGCCTGGCCTATAACAAGAATTCAGTAAATGAAAATCACTTTATTTACCCAAGTTCCTACCTGTGTCCCAGAACGGGGGGTCAAATCCTTTCTCCACATCAGACTCAGTTTGAAGAACGTATTAAAAATGAAGGTTTAAACAAAAGCAGCTTCTCAGATTCCACTTGAAGAAATTCTGATCCAGCGGTGTTGGTGATGGGGCCCAGGAAATAATTTTTAGCAAGCACCCATTGATTCCAAGGTGAACAGCCCATTTTGCAGAGCAGGCTTGGAGGGACTACAGAGGAAGCCAGGGACAGGGCAGGCAGTTCTGGTACCCAAAGGCACTTTCGAGCTATGCTTACCTACTCCCCACCAAGCCACAGGTAGAAGGCCAGGGTATTGGCATCTCTGATAGAACCCCAAGTTCTACCCATCCACCACCTCACAGTGGACTTTTTTTTTTTTGACTTCTGTGTTTTATTTTTTTCTTCCAAGTTTTTATTTAAATTCCGGTTAGTCAACAGAGTGTAATATGAGTTTCAGGCGTAGGATTTAGTGATTCACCACTTATACACAACACCCAGTGCTCATCACACGTGACCTCCTGAATACCCATCACCCATCTAGTCCATCCCCTGCCCACCTCCCCTCCAGCACCCCTCAGTGTGTTCTCTATCGTTAAGAGTCTGTTTTATGGTTCGCCTCTTTTCTTCCCCCCTGTGTTCATATGTTACGTTTCTTAAATTCCACATGTGAGTGAAATCATATGGTATTTGTCTTTCTCTGGACTGGCTGTTCTTGCCTGATGTCCTGGCGCCAGCAGAGTTAACCTGGGAGCTTCTTGAAGACCCAGCTGTCTGTCTCCCCAGCCCTGAATCCTCCGTGGTAATCTTCACGGAGACCAGAGGCTGTCTTTTCACCAGGTTTCCCAAGTGTGCTCCATTCTCTGCTCTTTCACCGCATCCTTGGGGCAGCCACGCTGGAGGAGGGTTAGGGAGGACTGCTCACTGTGCACCACGCTGTGCCAGGATCCGGTTTCCCTGATCTCCTTAACTCCCAGGGCAACAGGTTGAAGAGAAAAGGAAGCAGAGGCTCAGAGAAGTTTTAAGGCTACAGACTGGCACCAAATGCAGGCCTGCTGCCTCCATTTACAAGCTTTGTTCTTATAATACGCAGAAACTCACCAGACTTTGTAGAACAGGAACGGAGAAATCATTTTTTACCAAAGAGGAGGAAGCTAAAGCCCTGAGAGGGGAATGATGTGCCAGGATTTGCAAAGCTACTGAGTGGAAGAGCAGATACTTGGTAAGGTGACTCCAAGCCCTTTCTGAGCTCATGCCTCATTACTCAGGTCAGACATCCCCATGCTCCCAGGGTCCACGGGGAGAAGCAGGGACAACCTCCAGCAACGGGGCAGCTGAACTAGATGCGCCGGGATGGATGGGGGCAGGGCTGGGGGAGAGGGAGGAAATGGAGAGGGGCAAATCCTGCTTCACTTCTGCCCTCCTTCACCCTCGGGGCAGGCCCAGACTCATCCACAGCCTCCCACGCTTACTCCTACCTCTGCCAGGGCCCTACCGAAGCAAGAGAGGCTAGAAGGTGGGGCCTGGCTGAGAGCCACGGCCTGGGATGGGGTGGGGTGGGGTGGGGTGGGGTGGGAGGGTTTGGGTGACTGGGCTGCCAAAGGCAATGACTGATGCTTTAGGTGGTCGCACCTCTTTCTAAAGGTGCTGTTCCCACTCTACCCACAAGGAAGCTGAGGCTGAGTTGAACCCCCATGGCAGGATTCTAACCCTCCCTGTCTGGCTCCTTCCGTTTCACCTTTGCCCACGGTGGTCAGCAGTGAGCCGCACAGGAGAGGTGGGGGCAGTGGCTATCTGCTCCATTATTCACGACAAACCGCAGGAAGAGAGAAGTGGCTCACCCAACCTGTCATTCTCTCTGGGCCCTGGCGCTCCTCCAGTGAGCCTTTCCTGCCCAAAGAGCCCCTTAAGCTGCTCACAGCTGAAGTCTGGAGAAGCTGCCACAGCCACAGCCCTGCTCTGGAGACGTCTTGGCTCATGCGGCCTCAATTCAATGCCCAAAGCACGCCCCTCTCCCAGGTGGGTCATTACTGAAACAATTGCTCTGAACAGGTTTACGGAACGGGCAGGGGCCACGGCGGATCTTCAAGTGGGTCTGCCGCTACCATGTGCCAGAAAGGTAGCGGGCAGGCTTTAGTCCATCTGGGAACGTTAGGACGTCATGGTTGAAACCCAAATTCCTTAGTAGGACTTTCTGAGGTCCCTGGCCTCACTTCAGCCCACTTCTATGCTTCTAAGCCCGGCTTCAGTTCCTGCTGGCTCTCTGCACACTGTTCCCTCATTCCTCAAGTCTCACCCCACCTGCACTGAGACACATAGTGGTCCTCACAGCCCATCTCCCTTTCTTCCTTCCTTGCCAAAACTTTACTGGAAAGAGTAGGTGCCCGGTCCCGAGGGGCAAGTCCTGGTCTGTGGCCTGCCCGTTCTCCCTTGCCGTTTTCCCAGATTTACAGTTGGAGGTGGCCATGTGACTCATCTTCTAGAGAATGCCATCTTTGGGGGAACATTTTGCTTCCTGGATGACTTCTTTCTCCTTGGCGATTGGTATGAGGTGTGGTGCTGCCACAACCTTCTATGAGATTCTACAATGATAAAATGACAAGCCTGCTGAGAATGGAGGTGAAGCACAGGAAGAGCCTTGCTCCTTGATAGCACCGTGGGGCGGGCCCACGACCAAGACCTGAAACTGCCTGCCAGCAGACTTCCCCTCATTGTTTATGCTTATTCCACGCAGCTGGAAACATTCCTAACCAATGCATCAGACGCATCACTTCCAGGGTGCCTGAGGGGGGCTGTCAGCTAACTGTCTGCCTTTGGCTCAGGTCATGATCCCAGGGTCCTGGGATCGAGCCCCACCTTGGGCTCCATGCAGAGGGGAGTCTGCTTCTCCTTCTCCCCCTGCTCCTTCTCTCCAATAAATAAATAAAATTAAAAAAAAAAAGAGGGGCACCTGGGTGGCTCAGTCGTTAAGCATCTGCCTTCGGCTCAGGTCATGATCCCAGGGTCCTGGGATCGAGCCCCACGTCGGGCTCCCTGCTCCGCGGGAAGCCTGCTTCTCCCTCTCCCATTCCCCCTGCTTGTGTTCCCTCTCTCGCTGTGCCTCTGTCAAATAAATAAAGTCTTAAAAAAAAAAAAAAAGATGTCACTTCCTCCAGGAAACGTGCCTTGGCTGGTAAAACAGGATCAAGGGCCCCCTCCTCAGAGCAGTGGAAACATGTGCCTCTCATGATATCTGCACTTGCCCATTCATCCATGGGCCCCAGCAGACTGAGGTAGGCAGCAGGGCCCCATGGCGTTCACCATTTTATTCCTACACCAGCGTATCTGTCGAATGCATAAGGATACCCACAGCTGATTGGTGGCACAAGCTCCTTGGGGGCAAAGCCCAGGCCCAGCCCTCGGGAACTTGCAGAAACAGTTGACACAGGACAACCACAGAATCCCTGAGGAAGGGATGGGTGTGTACATGCGCATTCGGGAGTGAGGTGGGTAGCACTTCACCTGGTCACCTGGCTAGAAGAGACGTCGCTGCTCCCTGCACAGGACAGTCTGCATCCCCTCCTGACTGTATCACTTGGCAGGGTGACAGTGTCCCCCACTCTGCTCCTTCCACTTCCAATTAGAGCCACACCCACCCTCTGTGCTCAGATTCATCTGCAGTGCTGACTGCTTAGCTGCACTTGGAAGGACAGTAAGACACCCAAGCTTCTGTCCCCTCCCACAGAGAAGCAACTCAAACGTGCAGTGTCTCGATACAAGACAGTGTGCCTTTGTGATTACTGTCCCTCTTTCCTTATCTATAAAACACTGCATCAAGTCTACTTAAAAGTCACCCAGTTTCTCTTATCTTCACATTTTAGGTGCCATCTTTCTATTTTCCACCTTGTATCCCAACCAGGAGCTGATCCTGTCTCTCACAGCCAGCAGGACATTTGAGAATATACTCTAAGCTGGGTGCTTTCACACATTATTTCACTTAATCCTTGAAATAATTAGTATCTTCATTTTACACATAATAGTATTTTAGCAACAGCCTCTGAGCACCGTGACAGCAAACTTAACACATGCCATGGCTAATCCTCCCTAAAAGCTGCCACACCGATCTATATTCCCATTTTGTAGATGAAGAAACTAAGGTGCAGCAATTAAGTGGTAGGGAGCACGTGGGGAGCAGCTCTGTTCAACTCCAAAGCATTTCAGAGTTGGGCCAAGGGACCCATCCTTGGAGTAATACCTAAGGAAGAGTACATCAATGGTTAGGGTATAAAAATTTATTACATGTACAGAATATGACCACTAACGAATGCAGACAGGCTAGGACACAATGAAACCGGATGGAAGATGGCTAGCTCTTTGGAAAGTGAACATGTTTGGGTGGCTCGGAGCCTCATGCCACGCGGAATGGTCAGTCAGAAGGGAGAGCACATGCCAAACGCTGCGGAAGGTCAGGGCATCGAGTGACTGCTCTGCGTGCCCACTGCCTTCCCTGTCTGATCTGGGGCTTCAAGGGATGCCACGCCCGGAAGCAAGCAACTGAAGCAAAGGGGATTCCTAAGGTGGCCCAGGCTTGTCTCTGAAGTCACGGCAACACCATTTTAAGCAATATGTTTAATTGGATGATTTCCACAAACTATACACGAAGTTTCTAACCATCACAATTCAGTGAAGTACAAAACATTAAGTTACAGGCTGTGGGAAGAGAAGGCAGCACCAATGGTGGCACCTTCCAATCCTGGTTGGTCTAGGGGTAGGGGGTGGGGGAAGGTTTCATTTTAAACTGAGCCCCTCATTTCAATGTACAAAAGAATTACTCTGATCGATATTAAATTGTATTGAAAACAAAACGGACTAAAAAGCAACTACTACTCCATGTTGGGGTGGAAATGGGAGGAAAGAATGAGTCCTTCAAAGCAGGAGGGGAGACAGTTGGGGGAAGGTTCTGTGGCTGTGACCCCAGGTGGTCACTCACGCTGCTCCATTTTTACTTTCGGTGGTCTCAGGAAGGTCCGATTTTTCTTCTCTTTCTTCCCCTTTGTATTTGCTTGGAAGTTTCGCCAGCTGTCCACACGACCATCTCGACTTTCCTGAGCACAAAAGAGGTTTGGGGGTGAGGAAACTAGCTGATGAGAAGAAGGGCCTGGACCTGCTCTTCCATCCTCGTAGCTCAGCTCGCCTCAGTCATCCCCGTAGCCCAGCCCGGCTCAGTCCTCTGGAATAATCCCAGAGTAGAACAGAGCAGAGCTTTCCTCCCACTTCCACAGGCCCACAAAAGGTGGCATCCCACCCCTAGAAGGCAGGATCAGCTGCGGGTTGAAGAAGAGAACAACGTCATCACAACATCTGCGGGGGACCTCAGGGCTGGATATTTAGCAGATGCTCTTTCCTTCTTTTTTTTTTTTAAAGATTTTATTTATTTATTTGACAGAGAGAGAGAGCACAAGCAGGGGAAGTGGCAGGCAGAGGCAGAGGGAGAAGCAGGCTCCCTGCAGAGCAGGGGGAGCCTGACGTGGGACTCGATCCCAGGACCCTGGGATCATGACCTGAGCCGAAGGCAGTCGCTCAACCAACTGAGCCACCCAGGCGCCCGCAGATGATCTTTCTAACCCTCACAAACAAGCGGCCTGCAGCGGGTGGTGCCGCCACCATTTCACAAATGACAACACCACGGCTCGGAGGTTATCGCTTTCTCAGAGTCATACGGCTATAGTCAGCAGGACAGCCGCTCTTCCCACTGCACCCTCCTCCTTTGGCTCTGCAAAACTCGGAGGGAGGCTCAAAGCCAGCACCATGCCTCGCCATTACACTGAGAGGGCCCCGAGGTTCTCTCCCTGCTTATCAAGGGACCTACTCATTTTCTCTCTCTGCATATAAGCAAGGGGACAGAAACACAGTTACCAACTCTGGTTAACCAATCCCTAGCCTGAGACCTGAATGTATAGCAGAAAAGACACCAAACATGGCTCAATTCAGGAAATTGGCGGAGTACCTGAAGAATGTAACCAGGGTGTTAAAGGGGAGTCAAGTTCAAAAGTCAGGATATCAGGGTCATAAGAACCTCAGTTTCTGCTAACAGACCTCTTAAGTAGGGCACCACTCCATGACTACCCCCTAATCTAAACGTGCAAAGCATTTTTCTCGAGCCCACTTGGCAGCTGTGCCTTCCATAATCTCTAACAAGCCCTTCAGGGACCCTCCCTGCCCTTGCCAAGGCTAGAGAGCATATAGGCAGCTGAGCCAGAACTCATTCTCCAAAGCTCCTGCTCTTCGCCACGAATCTCCTCTCCCCGATCGTCTGTCCCAGTCAGTCCTGGCAATGCCCCAGGAACCAAGTTTCTATGCTGGGAAGTTTTCTTACTCTGGAATGAAAATCCCTGACCACCCTGGAAACTTACCTCAAAGTTTTTCTGCCACTCCCTTTCTCGTTTGGCTTTTTCTTGAGCTTCAATTTCTTCTTCCCTTTGTCGCTTCCTAGGAAGAAAACCAAACCAGAGTATTTTTATGATACTTAGAGACTGTCTTAACCATACAAGTTAAGCCACTCCCGATAGAAACAAGTATATAAAGTAAATCAACTCCCTAGGGTTCTATAAAAATGGCTGTCTGGAAAAGGCTCAGAGCCTTTTCATGAATGTCTTCCCCTAAAGCACACAGATGAGACCGTGGGCAGGGCTATAGGGCAGGGTATAAATACCCCCATTATACAGACAGACATATAAGGCTGTCAAGGCCCCGCCAACAATAATCATAGGTTATGGGGTCCGCCTATAGGTTCAGGGCTCAGTCTGGGAGAAAGCCATCTCGAGAACCCAGGCCACCCTACTTCAGGAGAATGACCATTACAATAGCAGAGCTCCTTATTCAAGAGGATCTTTGGACAAAACCCAATTTCATACAACCTCAACTAGCAAAATATGGTTACTGCTAAACACTAATCAACAATACAAAATACATTAAGTTAAATTTACCTCAAGATTTCTGGTAAGTGAGGGAAATCATACTTTGGGACAACAAATATTTTGTAAGTAATTACACTATACAGTAAATACTACAGACTCACCAAAGCTGCAGCCACTAGTCACACAAAAGGTTCTGGCCTCAATAACTCTGCCTATTTAACTCCAGGAAATCAGGAAGAAAACACATAGCACTCTTCATTAAAAACTCCCTAAGGACAGGTCTATTCAATATTTCCCAAAAGTCAGAGACAACTTCTTACCCTAGTGATTCAAAAGTTTGGCTGTCTCAGATAACTATTTTATACAGTTTCTTAAATGATGTACTATAGAATTCCTTGATTAGAAAAATCCTTCATTAGGAAAATCCCCAAAGACCAATTTTGATTAATCTAGGTACTTAGATGGATTAAATGAATATACTGATGTATACCTTTCATGCATCTCTTTGGCTTCTCTCTCTTTCCTTTTAATTTCCAGCTCAGCAAAGAGTTTCATGGTCTGTTTATATACTGCTTGTTTGAACTACAAGAAAATTAAGAACAAAAGAAAATAAAAGTCAGTACTTTATCAGCAACTTGAATCCAGCACTTTTAGATGGAGCCCAAGACAAAAAGCAGATTAGAACCGGCAAGGAAGAAAGATTTCACAGGGCACTACTTAATGATGCTCTCTCCCGGGAGATAAATAACCACCACCTAGGAGAACTTTCCACTTTCTCCATGTGGATGATACACAAGAAACTTACCCTGGTAAAAAACACCAAAGAGAAAAAACTTCTACCTGCTTCTCACAACCATGTGGGAGGACCCTTTCCTCCAAAGAATTTCGAAAAAATAACTTTCATTCTCTCCTGTTACAAATCTCTCGTAATTGCTCTGGGCTAGGCACCAGCTGGGTACTAGAAGTTGCTATCAAGCAGCCCCGTCTCCGGAGTCTACTGACTACAGCAGAGCGTCAAAGCTACTAGTTGGATGTCCCCCATTATCTGTTCTCCTTCCATGTAAAATCCCTTATCTTTAGGTACCTGGTCACCCAATGTAGAAGCCCGTATTTCCTAGGCTTCCTTGTAGCTAGGTGTGGCCATGTAACTTCGGTTTTAGCCAATGGGATATAAGGAGAAGTGACGCAGCAATTTCCTGGAATGTTCTTAGAGGGAGTACACTTATCCCGCCTTGTCCCCTTCCTCTATTCTGCTGTTTGGCACATGGGTGAGGTGATGACACATCCTGGACTGTGAGGATGGGGGCGACATCCTTGTCGGCAGAGCCAACAGAATGTTGAGGAGAGGAGAATGAGTCCTTGGATGACACATGGTCCAGTGCTGCCACACCAGCGGCCATCTTCCCAAAGACTACATTGTACAGGACAGAAAACAAATCACTGTCTTGTTCAAACCATCATCTTGGGTCTCAGTTGTACGCAGTTGAACTGATATTCTAACCAATACGCAGACGGAAAAAAAATAACACAACATAAGACAGAAAACAGAACTATCTTTAAAACTTTTTTTCCCCCAAATATAAAGTATTTTAAACATACAAAGAAAAATAGAAAATAACCCATCATGCAGATTTCATAGAGCCTAAGTTCCAAAAGCAGAGACACTGGAGCAAAGAGTAATATATGGAGAGAAAGGGAAGTAAAGGAGCCCCAGAACGTGTCACTTCTTTTTAATACTGTTATCTGCCAGGCATTGCTCAATAAAAGCAATACTGACAAACCCCAGTCCCTAATGAGGACAAACATCAAAGGAGTGAAGGAGTCTGTAATGAGTATTTTAATATCTTTAAAGGCTCCAACTCTCTTGGATGGACGGTTACTGATGACTGAATTTTTTATATTCTTTTTCCAAATTTTCTATCATTAGCATGTGTTCCTTTATAATCGGGGGGGGGAGACAACTTAAAAAAGTTACAGTTCTTAAAAACTCAGGAGGACAAAGGAGTATTTATGAGAAGGTCTTCAGAAAAGACCAGAGATTAAAGGGAAGGGAAGAGAAAATAAGACTGAGGAGAAAAAACTGAAATACTGGGACAGAATAAACCCAAAACAGGTGGCTAGTACGAAAGGTGACCTCACAGTTCACAAGCAGTGTTACTACACAGAAGATGGGGCCAGTCACTGCCAGCAAAATCACTGAAGCAAGAAGCTGTAGGCAAGTCTCCCTGGCAAGACAGCCTCTCTCATATAAATCTTTAAAAACAAGATAAGTAAATGGTTAAGTTACTTACTGATCTAAACTGAGGCAAGATTAGGATGACTGAATTTTTCAGGCTAGTGGGGCAATCAGACAAATACCTACGTAGAATCTCTCTCTCAGCCAATCTCCACTAAAGAACCCAATGGATGAAGCAATGTTCTCCAGTTTCTCTATAAATTATTACCCGGAGCACAGTGAGCACCCATGGCTGGTGGAAAGCCGTTTACTAGCTGGTTAGAGTCACCTGTGGTTGTTCCCAAAGTGCTCTATGCCAGTTACAATTACTACTATACTTATGAGATTTAAATACCACAGAAATTGATGAATGTGGTTATACAAATAAATGCTTGTGGTTTCTTTTTATTTTTTTTTTAAAGATTTTATTTATTTGACAGAGAGAGACACAGCAAGAGAGGGAACACAAGCAGGGGGAGTGGGAGAGGGAGAAGCAGGCTTCCCACCGAGCAGGGAGCCTGATGCGGGGCTCGATCCCGGGACCCTGGGATCATGACCTGAGCCGAAGGCAGACACGTAACGACTGAGCCACCCAGGCGCCCCTGTGGTTTCTTTTTAAAACTAAGTGGAATGCTTTAGAAAGATTCAATAAACTTAAGTCCCTAAAAACACTGGTGTTGGGGACACCTGGGTGGCTCAGTCGGTTAAGCATCTGCCTTCGGCTCAGGTCATGATCCCAGGGTCCAGGGATGGAGCCCCACATCAGGCTCCTTGCTCAGCAGGAAGCCTGCTTCTCCCTCTGCCAGCCGCTCCACTTGCTTGTGCGTGCTCTCTCCAATAAATAAATAAAATCTTTAAAAATAAAAAAGTAATAATAATAAAATAAATAAAAATACTGCTGTTAAATTAGGTACAGGTGAGACATCTGAAAAAGACTGGAAAACGAATCATCCGAATGGGCTTGCACTTTTGAAGACCTTAGCTTGCTGCAGCCTCCTTTACCCGGCAAAGCAATAAAGCTATTGTTCCTCTTTATCCATAAACGAAACAAAACCACCCATGAATCACATATAGCTGGGATTTTCCTCTTCGTTTTTGTTTCACAAATACCTAAGTTTCAATGTACTGCAAAAAACATTAGAAGTAGAAACTATGGATAATGCTTCATGTGTGTGTTTTATTAAATGAAGTCAATGGCAAATGCCAATCAGCAGACACGCATTCAAAGAAAAGGCCATGGCCCTATGACAAAAAAAAGGGTGAGGCTTAAAAATAGGTGCATGGACATATTTTTAAATATTTTAAGTTAAAACAAAATGTTTCCAGCACGTATGCGTCATTCCTTAGGCTTCCCTCTCTTTAACTGGGTAATGTGACAACACTGTGATGAGAGGGCACGAGGGGACCGCTCTCCGCAGCATGCGGCTGGTAAGGTGTGCTCAAGTGCAGGAGACTGAGTGGCTTTTCCCATATCTCACTCACCAGCTCAGGGTCGTCCTCCTCCACATTTGTAGGTTTTCCTTCCTTCTTTAATTGCTTTTTTCTCTCTTTCACCTAAAAAGAATTTTTTTCATCAAAAAATTGAGACTATCCATTAAGCTGCACACATATGGCATGGGCACTTTCTGCAGGTACAGGCAGGACAAAAGGTTTACGTGGAAAAAAATGAGCCTCTGCCCCTCCCCTCCACAACAGCAATGCAATCAAAGGAGAACTAAGAACGAGGGGTCCTTCCCCTAACCTCATCTAAAATCCAATCCACCAGGAAGGATGCAAGGGGACCAGCAGGGAACTTGTCCCCAACTCATCAGATCCTAGGCCAGAGCCAAAGAGCCTTGGATATGTTTATCAGATTACCCATTTCTCTTTTGCGGCCGGTAGTTACATGTTTATAGCAAAGAAAATATATTTGTCAAGTTTTAGAAGAAGCTACCAAATTTGTGGCATTAAGTTTAATTGTTTTCTGGCATTTCAACAACTGCATTATTGATAATTTTCACTGTGAAACCCCCTTAAACCAATCATATTAACTGATTTTTTTTTTTTTTTGCTTTGGCCACCATCGAGATCTAAAAAAATAAAATTAAATATACTCCTTCACACAAGAAAGTCATTACTCTATTAATCATCCACTACTGCTCCAGCAAAAAGCCAGTGCCTTCCAAGCTCGGAACAACCCTACTGCCACCTTGTGGCCAGAAAGCCTGAGGATGGCTCCCTTAAAGGCAAAATACAGAGGAAAAGTTAACTACCACAATAATTTAAGGAGAACTTGTCAGGTCCTTTTCTGATTTCGACCAAAATTTGACCTATAGGTACCACTTCAACACATGACCAGCAAGACATAGTTATGGCCATCCTTCTCCTCTTTTTACTCGTTTTTTTCATCTCATTTGGACTATTATTATTGGTTATACAATTCTGTTTCAGATTCCAAAGCTCTTCAAAGAGAAGGTCACACCCATATTTGCTCCCAGCTGAAATAGCTCTTACGAATGGCCTCACGATTCTTGCCCCAGCAAGTAAAAAATTAAAACAAAGACCCTTCTTACCTCAAGCAAGCCATCTTAACACTTCCCACCACTCGGGAGATTTAGGTAATGCAGAAAAATAAAACTAGCTATAACTGAATTTATTTTAGTTGAATCCTTCCCAAACCCTGTTATTAATACAGATATGCACCTCCTCCTATTTTAAAAAAAATTTACTCATGTCCCCTTGCCAATCTTTCTCAAGCCCATGTTCCAACCCCTTCACAGAGACAAGAATAAAAATCCAGGGTCAAGGATCATCATGGCTGCTCCACTCTTCCACTCACAGAACTGGGTAATGTGACAACACTGTGATGAGAGGGCACGAGAGGACCTCTCTCCGCAGCATGGGGCTGGTAGGGAAAGAGGGAGAGGCAGCCTCCTAGCCACTCCATATCCTGCGCTCTAGGGCACACACCATTCATGAGCACCACAGCAAATTTTCGGAGACCAGATAAGAGGTCACAAGTTACAGCAGTAGGTACTGCTATGTTAACATTTACCCTCCTGCAAGGTGCCCGAGGCTTGCTAATACTTCCTGTAAACACAGCAGCACTATAAATACTTACAGTGTGTTCCACGTATTCTTTTCCTGCCTGAATTACATCCAGGGCCCTCTTCTTTTGTTCCTGATCCAGTAGCAACTTGTAAGCTTTGTCCACAGCTAATGCAAAACATTGAAATTAACTGTTTCTGCAAACACCCTCTGAAAGTCTGAACTATACTCAGGCAGTGTAAATGGACTTGTGCCATCTAAAAGCATTCCCTACTTTGTTAAATTATTTATTGTCATTAAATTTAAAAACATACAACTATAGCAATGACTTTCCTTGAGAGCCTTGGAAAAAATTAAATATACCCTCAAGACTAAATACACCACATCTAGATTTAATTCAGTGATAAAATACTTCCAATTATTTTTTTATGTTCAAAAAAGAAAAATGATCCTACGCAGTAACAGTCTTTCTTGGCACATAAAAGTTTTAACAAAGCAAAGTTAAGATCTATTTCTTAAACAGCAACATTCTGCTTTGGAATGACAACTGTTCTACTGAAAACCACAGCTTCTTCATCACCAGAAGACAAAACTGTAACATTCCTTTCTTGATCCAGGACAAGGAACAGTTAGTCCCTAGCATTGATAAAATATTACTCGGAAGCAGGTAAATTTACAAATACCTTCAAAAGCCTTTTGTGCTCTGTCAGCATCATCTTGGTTTTTGTCAGGGTGCACCAATATGGATAACTAAAATAAGAGGAAAGTTAGATTTGTCAATAAGAGGAACATTTAGTAACTCTTCACCTGCACTGCGCCTCTTTACAACCAAAAGCTCTAAGGTGTTATGGCAAAAAAGACTGTCAGCTGGAAGCGTTTTTAACAAATTAATAAGTATCATAAATGTGTAGAAATACTGGTCCTTAAAATTGAAGCACCAAAAGGTAAATGCACAGCTGAGAAACATGTAGGGTTTTAATCACAAAGTTCAGAACAAATATAAGCCTAGTATTATGAAGATGCTGTGAGGATGCAGGAGAGAGACTGAAAAGCACCCAGTTCCTATTATGTTCCTTATACTGGGCACTGTAAAAGCAGAAGCACGTATGAGATATCATCCTTCCTAAAAGAACTTTTAATTTAAAGTAGTGGTTCTCAAGGTGGGGGATGGAGGGATGGGTTAAATAGGTGATGGGGACTAAGGAGTGCACTTGTGATGAGTGCCAGGTGATGTGTGGAAGTGTTGAATTACTATATTGTACCTGAAACTAATATACACTGTATATTAACTGGAATTAAAATAAAATCTTTAAAAAAGAAAAAGTAGTGGTTCTTAGTTCTGGCTGTGCTCCATCCCTGTAAAGTTTTTTTGTTTTTTGTGTTTTTTTTAAAGATTTTATTTATTTATTTGAGAGAGAGAGAGCAGGCGCGCAAGCACAAGCAGGGAGAGGAGCCGAAGGAGAGGGAGAAGCAGACTCCCTGCTGAGCGTGGAGCCCAACTCAGCCTGATCCCACGACCCTGAGATCATGACCCGAGCAGAAATCAAGAGTCAGATGCCCAACTGACTGAGCCACCCAAGCGCCCCCAACCCTGTAAAGCTTTTTAAAAATATAGGTCCACTTTCTACCCTCAGACCCTCTGATCAGTCTCTGGCATCTGTCCTTTTTAGATCTCTACTGGATTGGGTATCAGATGATAGTAAGGAATTAGTGTTAATTTTGTTAGATGTGACAAGTAAGAAATGCAAGAAAATGTCCTTTTTTTCTCGGGGGGATACATGATGAAGTATTTGGGGTAAAGTATCATGATGTCTGTAATTTACAATTCAGCCAATAACATATAGTTAAAGAGGTGAAGCACTGCCTGCAGACGATGAGTATATAGGTGTTCACTGCTCTACTCTTTCTTTTTAAAATGTAATTCAAATGTTTTATAAAAAAAAGGTAAAATAAAAAGCAAAAATCTCCACACGTGATTCTTTCAGGCAGCCAAGATTAAGAATCACTGACCTACTATCATGGACAGACCAAAATCAACTAGTTGGAACAGTGGGACTCTGTTGGGGGAATGACAGCAAGTGGGAATCAAATGCTAAATCCAGCATTATTGGAGCCAGAATCCTGGGCTCTAATTCCAACTTCAATCACCTTCCAGCTGTGAGACCTTGAGCAATTCAGTTAACCTGTCTCTGTGCCAGTTTCCTCCTCTGTAAATAGGACAATACCAGGTACCTCTGTCTTACTGGGTTAAAGATGAAATAATGCAAGTAGAAACTTAGCATACTGTCTAACATGCATTGACAATAGTCAGCATATAAAGAGGACACACTATATGCCAAGAAAAAGACACACTATTCTAAGCGTATTGTGTGTATTACCGCATTTAAATCCTCCTAACAACCCCACTAGGTAGGCACCATTATGATGTGCATTTTACAAATGAGGTAACAGGCACAGAAAGGTTGAAAACTTGTTCAAACTGCATATAAGGGGTATGGCCAAGACTGGAACTCAAGTCAAATAGCTCTAGGGCCCACACTCTTTTTTTTTTTTTAATATTTATTTATTAGAGACAGAGAGAGAGAGCATGCACGAGTGGGGTGAGAAGCAGACTCCCCACTGAGCTCAGAGCCTGATGTGAGACTCCATCTCATGACCCTGAGATCATGACCTGAACCAAAACCAAGAGTCGGACGCTTAACCAACTGAGCCACCCAGGCACTCCTAAGGCTCATACTCTTAACTATTAGATCATATTAATGACTAAAGAACTCTTATTGAGTTCTTTGTACAGCTACATAAATAGCTGTTCTATGATTCTGAATGCTTGTTTATTAAATTGGGAATGACTGCTAATGCATTATATTAGGAGACTCAAAATTTTAGAAAAAAGAAAAGGTACAGAGTAGAACTCTATAGAGCTAGAAAGTTATATAATGGAAAATGCCTGAGTAGGCAAAGACAGAAAACATCTTGGCTTAATAGAAGATCAGAAGATGATTATGAGTCAGCAATGTGGGGGCAATTACAGTATTGAAGAAGCAGGCACAACACTGGATATTAACAAGTATGTCCTGCAGGAGCTGAGAATTATATTCGGCACTGGTTAGGTCCTATTAAAATATGAAGTACATAAGAGATATAAAAAAGTTGGGTAAAGTTGAAAAAAAAAAACCATGAAATATACAGAAAATCCAATTAGTAAAGACAGATTGCAGGAAGTATGATTATTCAACCCCTAGAAGGAAAGGCTGGAGGTTACTCAGCTATCAAAATTGGAAGGATTTTTAAAAAGGCTACTATAAAATTTTGTAGCTCAAGCTATGAAACATCAGACTGGGCAAGAAAGCACTCTATATGAAACGGGGTATCTCTTGGGTATTTATTTAAGTTTGCAAAAGATAAAATTATTGAGGAAGGAGATCTTAAAAATAAAAAAACTGTTACGAAGGGCATCTGGGCTGCTCAGTTGGTTAAGCATCCGACTCTCGGTTTCAGCTCAGGTCATGATCTCAGGGTCTTGAGACTGAGCCCTGTGTCAGGCTCTGCGCTCAGCGGGGAGTGTGCTTGAGATTCTTTCCTCTCCCTCTCCCTCTCCCGCCCCCTCTGCTCCTCCCCCTGCTTGCTTTCTCTCTCTCTCTCTCAAAATAAATAAATAAAATCTTTAAAAAAAACTTGTTATGAATCATTTAACATATTCTCCCTGGGAAGGCAGAGAATTTAATAAGCATGACTCCAGTAAGCTCTACTGTTCTATCTTGTATTTCTCCTGATTAAGGGGCTGGAAAGATTCTATTTGGCTATAAAATTCATTCTATTCAGAAGTCAAATTCATTCTATTCTTCTCTCTCACTCCCAACTGTATGCCTAGATTTGAGAGTGGGTAAGATGCTGTCATAACCTTCAGAAGTCTGCTGAATGCAGCTGTCACCGAGCTTCATGGCCTACCAATAAACCTACTGCTACAGGCGGGCTGTGTGAATGTCAGAGGCAAGCCATGGTCTCTAAATTATTTACAAATTTTGTCACTGTGAGACTGGTTGTTTTTTTTTTTAAAGAGTTACATAGCCTTAAGGTTAAAAAAAGAAAAGTTAAGGGGTACCTGGGTGGCTTAGTCAGTTAAGCGCCCAGCTCTTGGTTTCAGTGCAGGATATGACCTCAGGGTTGTGAAACTGAGCCCAGGGTTGGGTTCCCCACTCAGTGGGAAGTCTGCTTGAGATTTTCTCTCTCCCTCTCCCTTTGCCCCTCCACACCACCCCCTGCTGCCCACACACACCCATGCTCTCTCTCTAAAATAAATAAATCTTAAAAAAAAAAAATTAAATTTTGGCCCACAAGTCATAATAGCAAGTCCTAAGAGAATCATGTGCTTACTGTATTTCCAAAAGGTTCAAACTCCATCTATTACAGCGAAACAGTACTGTACCTGTCGAAACCTCTTTTTTATTTCTTCATCTGTCACTTCAGGATCTATCTGAAGAACCTGGAAGAATCAAAATCAAAACTGTAAAAGAAATTAAAAGAATTTATGAATTTAACAGGTGTCTAATAATTATACATATTATAATCAGCATCTAGAACAGTATTCAGCATTCCAGAACAGTGCCTGGCACACAGTTCTAAAAAATGCTCAAGAGGGTGCCTGGGTGGCTCAGTCGGTTGAGCGTCTGCCTTCGGCTCAGGTCATTATCCCGGGGTCCTGGGATTGAGTCCTGCGTCGGGCTCCTTGCTCTGTGGGGAGCCTGCTTCTCCCTCTCCCCCACCCCACTTGTGCTTTCTCTCACCATCTCTCTCTCTCTCAAATGAATAAATAAAATCTAAAAAAAAAAAAAAATTTTTTTTTAAATGCTCAAGAAATATAAATGAGGGGTGCCTGGCTGGCTCAGTCACTAGAACATGCAACTCTTGATCTTGGGGTCATGAGTTCGAGCCCCACATTGGGTGTAGAGATTACTTTAAAAAAAATAAAATACTTTTAAAAAGAAAAAAGAAATATAAATGACCAAATCAGTTAAGAGAATAATAGTTATACCACTTTAGGGGTCTCAATTAACACAGTAGCTACTTTTATTCCACCAGAAGAATTTATCTTATACCCAGAGACATGTTTCCAGACCATGTTGGATTTTCCCTTCATTCATTATGAAAAGTATCCCCCTACCCACCCCTACTCATCTTTGCAAATGTGGAGAAAGCATAAACATGCAACAGGGAAAAAATTAGGCTGGCTCCCTGATTTTCAATCCAGAAAGGTCCACTGGGCTCCACTTTATATCCGTAATTCACATGGGCCAATGATTCTCAGCCCAGAGTGGACATCAGAATTGCCTGTGAAGACCTGTGAGTGATGCCTGGGACGTACTCTAGAAAAGTCTGATTCCAACTCATTAGAACTGAGGTACGGCCAAATGGAAGGATCACCACAAATACATACATTCATTCAAACATTTACATGGTAGCTACTACCTGCTGAACACAGTGCTATGTACTAGAAATGCAAAGATGAATAAACAGGGAAAACATATTTTTTAAATTACCATATAATAAGTGCTTTTGGGGGAAGGGAATGTTATACATAATTAAAGCAGATGATTTCACAGTATAGTCCATGGATTCAACACAGCACCTAGTATTTATTTACTTGGTATTCAAGGCCAGGGGAGGGTCCTGAAAGGGCAGAGGGTGGGAAGAGTTTGTTAGGAATTCAGAAGAGAAGGCCCCATTTCAGTGCAACTGAATCAGAATCAACACTTAACAAGATCCCCAAATGATTTGAATCTTTTAAAGTCTGAGAAGCACTGGCAAGAAACAATGGAGGTTAGAAAAAAGTATGTTCAAAGTTAGCAGGATCAGTTAGTAACAGGCATGGGGGGTGGGGAGCAGCAGCCAAGAGAAAAAAAATGAAAATAAACCTTGAAAGGAAAAATACATACTAGAAATTAAAACTGCAAAGTAATCCACCAAGCTTAGTCAGATGCTTGGTGTTCCTTAAAAACCTGGCAACAAGTAATGTCAAGATTTATTGCAAGCTTTCAAAACATTCCAACAGCCCACCTACAATAATAAAGTTATTGGTAGGCAATGAAGCTGAATCACCACTGCATTCGGCAGACTTTGGAAGGTTATGACAAGAGCATACCCACTCTCCAATGCTAGGCAGACATTCAGGGTGAGGGAAAAGAGGAACTTTAAAGCAAAGAATTTTCAAGATTCACTGTGTCCCCTTATAACTTCCCAAGGGAGAAAGGAATTGGGAAAAAGTCACTCCGGAGGAAGTATGCAGCCATATGAGAGTTACAGATAAAGGGAGGGAACTGTATGTACACACATATTCAGAGGAGAATTTTAGCTTACCTGGTTTGGGGGAAAAGAAACGTACTGGAGCAAACCAAACTCCAACAAACCCCAGGTGTCCAAAATGAAGGAGAAAACACTTCCCACCTTCACACACCAAAAAAGTCTCCAATAAAGCTATAGCCCAGAACTAATCATACCAAATGTAATTCATAAACCTTGACTGGTTCCCAAGTTAAATAAATAAAGTAACTATAACTGAGATTTGGGGGACACCTGGGGCTGCTTGAGTGTGGACTCCATTAGGTGATGTTATTCAATTAATGCTGTTTCTCTTAGGTGTGGTAATGGTGTTGTGGTTATGTAGAAATCTGTTCTTGTTCTGAGGAGAGGCCTGGTAAATTATTTAGGCATGAAGCCTCACAAGTCTACAGCTTACTTTCAGATGATTTAGCAAAAAAGAAGGTATGTATAGGTATGTATATATATACACAAATAAACACACATCAACCAAAAGTTATTTTTCCAAGAGTTATATCACATGTGCACATGTGATCACAGGTAACAAATATTCACTGAGTGCCTTCAAAGCTAATCCAACTCCTTTCCTATCTTTAAGAGTTGGAGGTGCCATATGTGGCCATGAAATACAATGAAAACAGTGGGCCTATCCCTGTGGCCCAAACCTCTCTGAAGCCAGTTTCCCACTCAGTACAAATTTTTGGAGCACCTAGAGTTGCTAGATACTGTGCTCACTACTATTCTCATGAATTTAAGGTCCATCAGGTGAAGAACAGACAAGTAATAAGTAATTCTTATAAACTTGATAAATGCAAAAAAACCCAAAACAAAACAAAAAAACATGATGCCATATTACCAATACGGCTCTTAGGAAGCACACAGATCTGCTCAGATTCTTAGGTTTTTCTGACCACTCCTGTGTCTCAGGCTTTGGGGATACTACAATGAAGAATCCACAGTCTTAGACCTCAGAGAGTTAACTAATCATCTCACGTTAACAAAAATGCTTGACATTTATACAAGTTTCTGAACTCAAACGGTTAACAGCCTCCTTTGGGATCTTCCACTTGAAAAAGGAATCCAGTCTCTGTCACACCTGAACTCTATGACCTGTTGTTAATGCGCAAGTACCAGAGTTCTATGAGATAAATATCTTTCTTTCCAAGGTACTTAACAAGATAAAAGAAAATAAAGTCAGTGATGCTCCCTGCTGGCGTCTTAAAGTTAAATCAAAATAAGGAACACCAAAAGGACAGGACTGAGCAGGGACACAGGTTCATCTAAGCTTAGGGAAGGAAGTGGGGAAGTGCCTCAATCTAAGAACAACCGCAGAACGCAAAAGAAAAGATGCTTGCATAATGGCTGAAGGTCCAAATAGGGAGCTGCCCAGATGGCAGGATGCTCCCTGGATAAGGATTTCTGAGAAGAACCCTCAGATTCCCAGTCTACTGCCTCCCTTTTCTACCTAGCCATTACTGCATTACTCTCCTTACCAGAAGACCAGGCTGCTGACCTCTGTAGAAAAATTGGATTTATTTAGATGGGTCAAAATGGGTCTTTGCTGCACGAGAAACAAAAGTCACTCAGTTCCTGTATCACCAGGAACACCTAAGATTCTGACTTAGAGTCAAAAGCAACTTTATAGGGCGCCTGGGTGGCTCAGTTGGTTAAGCGACTGCCTTCGGCTCAGGTCATGATCCTGGAGTCCTGGGATCGAGTCCCACATCGGGCTCTCTGCTCAGCAGGGAGTCTGCTTCTCCCTCTGACCCTCCCCCTTCTCGTGTGCTTTCTCTCTCGCTCTCTCTCATTCTCGCTCTCTCAAAATGAATAAATAAAATCAAAAAATTAAAAAAAAAAAGCAACTTTATAAGGAGACAATGACAATGACGTCCACCTTATAAAGAGGCCAGCACATTTGTAGAAAATAGACAAGACAAATATTCTAATGGATAGTCATGGAGTCCTGCCCATTCAAACACAATGTCCCATCTTCCCCAGTGTGTTGACCTTAGCATATCTTTGTGTAAAGATGTATATATTCAAACACACACACACACACACACACACACACACAGTCAACCCTTGAACAACACAGATTTGGACTGTGTGGGTCAACTTACATATGGACTTTCTTTTCAATAAATACAGTATACTACTATAAATATATTTTCTCTTATGATTTTAATAATATTTTCTTTTCTCTAGCTTACTTTATTACACAAATACAGTATTTAATACATATAACATATAAAATATGTGTTAATCGATGTTTTATGTTATCAGTAAGCCTTCCAGTCAACAGTAAACGGATTTTCAACTGCGCAAGGGTTTGCATGCCTAATCCCTGCATTGTTCAAGGGTCAACTGTGTGTGGGTACACATATACACATATACCTGTATGCATAATGTGTATATATACTCAAACATACTTCCTATAATCAGGACAAGAGCTACAGGGTAGTAATTTCCAGAACCACAGTAACTAGTAGGGCATTAAAAACATCCTAGCCTTCATAGTATTCCCAAAAATTTTTCATTTCTTGTCAATCAGATTCTCCATAGGAAACATGAATTACCTTAACAAATAAATGGGTAAGTTATATGATCACACGTCCCCATTTCATGGTACTATGTACAATTTAAGAGCATGGTGAAACAGAATGAATGTAACATCAAATTCTTTATCACTTCTCAAACAAATTATCTTCTCCCTCCCCAAAATCAAATCAAAAGTACTTTTTTTTCTAAGATTTTATTTTTTAAGCAAACTCTACATCCAACATAGGGCTCAAACTCAAAATCCTGAGATCAAGAGTCACAGGCTCTATCAAATGAGCCAGTCAGGCACCCCTCAAACACACTCTTTAAGCTTTCCATCTTCCCCTTCCCTTTCTGAGCAATACAATCCAAACACATTAAGTGGAGCCAGGCACTTAGATATCTACTAGTAGACATATACTCTGGGTGGGGCATCAAAATGGCCCAGAGCAGTTTCAGAGCCTATGTGGGATGAAGACGATGGCGACCACACAGGGAGTAGTGGCCAGTCACACAGTGGTGGAGCACACGGGTGAGAAGAGGATCCACAGAAAGGAGGGGGACACAAACCATGAGAGACGATGGACTCTGAGAAACAAACTGAGGGTTCTAGAGGGGAGGGGGGTGGGG